TAAATGCTTATTCCATGGTGCTTATAGCTGTACTATTAGCATGAGATACATAATTTATAAGGCATACTTGCATTTCACTTGCTTTTTGTACTTTCTTTTCCTACTAAGTTTCACTTCTCTTTATTTAATGTGTTAACAATTCATCTTCTCTCAGTTTTCTTGATTTCTTCTCTTTTAATCTGTGGTCTCTCCTCTATCTCCCTGCCCTTCAAGACGCAGGGTCTTAGCGTAGACTAATGCTTCAAGCTATGTTGTTGACGACCAGTGTATTCAGTGCCTTGTGTTGCTTCTATCGCTCCAGCATTTAGCAAAGGGAAAAGTTTGTGATAGGAGAGTCCTAGCGCTCATCTTTGTGGGTGTTATTTACCATGGCTCAGTTTGGTTGACTGTCTGATGTGCTGGAAACCATGTTTGCTTCCCCGTCCCCCCTGACTGGTGAGCAGGGGAAAAAAAGAATTCTTTGTTTTCCTTTTTGACTGCAAAGGCTGATGAATGTTGAGGAGAAGGGGGTGTTGTGTGTGTGCGTGAGAAGGGTGGAAGGAAATAACTCAGTTTCTTTACTCCTCCTTTGGCTCCCTGCTAATGGAGGCAAAGGGGGGATACTGGCTCCTCTGTGCGTGTTTTAGGTTCTGCGAACTGTTCTTGGAGAACTGAAGTTGCTCATCATAGCTTTGCTAAGCAGCTGTATGGCAAAATCTGCTTGATTCTTAGTTGCTGAAAACTGAACAAAGTCAGTCCATGTCCATTTGCTTGCAGCTTGAGAAAGCTCTGAGTAAGAGAGTCACATGAGCCATCTGTTTGCACACTTACCAGCCCAAGATTGCATCAGTTTACATCGGACTACAAACTGAACTTCGTGTTTGTGAGCACTTTTTTTTAACCACGTCCTTTTTTTACTGAAACCTTACCTACTTCTGACTTTTGCCACCGGCGTATGGATCCCGTCAGCTTGTTCGCTGGCTTTGCTTGAGCCTTTGCCACTTCTTTTTTTTAAAAGAGCTCATGGTCTTGCCTCTGCAAATCTCCCAGAAACACTGACTTTGAAAATGGGGTTTATACTTTTAAATCATCTTTACTTTTTTGGAGATCATAGCTTTTACTAGGTTAAGAAATGTGAAACTTTCACAGCAGCATCTTTGATCTTAGCTTCTTGCTGTTACTTATGTTTCTGCTCAGTTCTGAAAATATTTAATACGTAATAACTGTTTTGTTTTTTTTTTTTTAAAACTCAGCTGCTAAGACTACAAGATAACTGCTACTTCCTAGATAATAGAAAGCAGTGCTGCTTTATCGTGTGCCTCTGTGCATTTAAATTTTATTACCGTTATTAAAATAACAACTATTCCTTTTGATTTCATATCATCTTCTGGTATATAGTTTCTAACAGCAAAAAATAATTGTTTCCAGGATTATGGGCTAATGTGAAAAACAATTTCACAGAAACAATGGTATATGGTGTTAACAAATTGAATCACTAGTTCTAATTAAGCCTGTTTTGCTAAAACTTGATTTCATAATTGTAGAAAAGCTGCAACATATGGGTGTGACAAGCATGTAGTTTGGTGTGACAGTGAAAATAATAATTTTTTTTTTTAGTGTTATGCTAGTATTACATTAAAGCAGTACGGATGGTGATCCAGGCTTGTGTATGAGATTATATATGTGTGGAGAAAGAGAGGGAGTTTTCTCACTTTGGTACTGTAGATAATGTCTAAAAGGTGCTTTGGAACATGATGTACGGTCTGAGTTTGAGAGGTGTAGCTAGTAACTAAACATCTCAATGCCTGAACTGTTACCTACATAAAATTGTAGGTCCCTTGGTAAATTTTCCCTAATCAAGGCAACTTTCTTAATGTTTAGAAACTAGAAATAGAGAAGAACGGGGCAAGGAATGTAAATAAAATGTCAGATAACTAATCTAAATTGATTTGCAGCAATTAGTAGGGGAATAAAACCTCACCATTATGAGCTCATAACCTCTCTTTATAAATGCCTGCTTTGAATCCAGGAACACGATCGCGTTTCAGTTGGAAAGGCAACAAAGGTTTTAAGTGTGATAAAGGATGAGATGGTGTGGTGCTATTCTTTCTGCAGGATCAGCTGTTTCATTCCACTTGCAAAAATTTATAGCTGTAAAGATAAGATACGTGCTGAAGGAGGGGGAAAAAAACCCAACCCAACAAAAAAAAGCCCTTGAAATTGTGTTAGAGGGTGAATGACTATGAAGTGTATTACTTCAGTTGAACCAGATTGTTCAGTATGTTTATCTTGTCTGTAAACAGGGAAGCTAAAGTTCCTTCCTTGACACAAACGTAGACTGTCAGTAGCTGATGTGGCCTGTGAGGCCGAAGGAGGATCATTGCTCTGTTTTAGTATTTGTATCTCTCTCGTACGACTGCTCGGTATGTTATCAAGCTTGATAAAGGGTACACCATAAAATGCGGTCCAGGAGCCTGTTCAGTGCATATAGGAGTGCTCTAGCCAGCCCTGGTGGTGTTTGGTGTAGGCTATTTTATCAGTTATCAGATTGTTGGCCCCAAAAAGCGGAAAACTTTGCGTGCGGATTGTAGAAAGATCTGTGCTTTTTTTCCTGCCTAAGCTTTGCTGTTTAATTTTGCGTCTGGAAATACTTTCTTTCATATACGCCTCACAAACTGGTAGATAAGCAATGACTTTTCTGTTTCAAAAAAACAGGTCTGTGCTGAAACCATGAGTCAAGTAGGCTTATTTGTTGATTGTATACCTTTCTGTTGTAATGTACTGTTTGCTGATAACAGTTCTGTTACCTCATCTGTAACCTTTCTGTTAAAAAACCACTGTTAGCTGGTCTCCAAATTGAAGAAACACAACTGTTTCGATTTACAGGAATACCGCTGGCTCAGGCTGTAGCAATTCTTCAGAAACACTGTCGCATTATCAAAAACGTCCAGGTTCTCTACAGTGAGCAGGTGAGTAGTGCATGCCCTGGCTGTGCCGTTTACCTCCTTGTGTCCCAGAACTATGGCGTTAGGGGGTAGACTGATGCTGCGTCATGCTGACAGACGTGTTGTAGGAATTGTGGAGCTACTTAAAATTGAATTACACCAAATTATTGCCACCACGTCTGAGGCGTAGCTTTTATAACAGTTTCACATCAAATGCAGTAATCCTCAGCACACTGCAGTGATCTAACAGGTATTGGTTTTATATATGCGGTGGTGGGGTAATAGTTTTTCCTTTAAGAAGGGAAATGTTCTGTAATTAGCTGGGTAACTTAATTTCAGTCTTTTTACATTATCATTGTCAAGTGTTGCTGTATTTTTGAAGTACTGAATCACTCGTTATGTTCCGCTTCCGTGTTTGGTTCAGTGGTGATGAACCCCCTGAAAAGGCTTCCATGCTTCCTCTCTGGATCTGCGATTTTGTCTGCGGAAAGTGGATGCGGTAATTTAAACCAGCTATGGATGTTTTAATCGTTCTTCCTAACTAAGCATTAAGTTCCTAAAACATTTGACTTCCATCAGAAAGAGGACTAGAAGCGAAACCTTTCTGCTAGACCAAATAAAATGTGTTATAAACCCACCTTTACTCTGAAGGAAGTAAATTCAGCATTCACTTTTTGCGGTAAATGCTGAAAGGCTGACGAGCAAGCCTGACTCTGGAGTTTACTGCTGGATACATATTTCATGTAATTAAATGAATTATCCTTTTTTGTTTCGTATTATGTAGATTTATGGGTTTTATGATGACTGAATTGCAGATTGAAAATGGAGCTCCTTGTACTTAATGCATGGGAGCATCTGTCTGGCAGTGAATGCATTCCTTGGTTTTAGTATGCTTCAGAGGTTTTTTAGTTTTTCTTGCCACAGTGCATTCCAGAATTATTTCTAGGTTTGTTGAGATAAATGATGAGATTCCTGTTCCTCAGGTTTGTAGAATCACAGCAGGATTAGTGGTCCAGTGCTGGAAAGCGAGGCAGACCACTGCTTGGTTTCTTTTGCCTCTTGGAAAGCTACATTGTACTTGACCATGTACACTGAATTTTTATTCTATCTGTGGGGCAGTGTGTAGGGGTGTGTGTTAGGGTTTTTCTCCCCAAACTGTAATAACTGTAAAGATATTTTTGACATCTGCATAGTCCAACAAACTTAGTAGTTCTCATCTTTGTGGAATAGTTGTGCTGACGATACTTTTTTCTGATTATTATTATTCCGATTCAGTGCTTGATATGGGTGCAATTTTTTTTTCCACGTGCCACTCGAGGCCTGCAGTTGACTGTCTGGCTACCCTCGTGCAGGACATCATGCGCTTCATTAGCAGCTGAGCACAAAGAGCTGCTGCAGTTCTTAGATTACTCAAAGTTTTAAATAAACTTTACCATGCACAACTCTTATCTAGCTGAACGATACCTGAACAGCTGTCACGTCTTTCCTCTTTCTTTTCTAAAAGAATGCCTTTGAGCATCCTGATCAAATGTTATTTAAAGTTGTTGCATCTAAAGCACTGAATTTCTGATCCTGGAACTCCAGCAGTGAATATTTCCTTTCAAAAATTTATATGACAATTAAATGCAATTAGATCTGCCCATGGCTTTTTTTAGCTTGACATAAATGGGATGCCCAAACTGTGCCAAAAAAGCTTGATGAACCCTTTTGTGTGACTAAAGAATTTTAACTCTTTTTTTTTTTTTTTTTTTTTGTCTGTTTAATTGTCTTTATAATTTTTCCTAAGCCTCTTCCTCTGTATTTGTGTCGATGGGATTGTTCAGTGCTAACAGTTTTTCTTGCAGCTTTATGTAGATTAGCAGCATAGCTGCACATCTGCGTTGCTTCCTTCAGGAAGGACTCTCCTGTTGCTTCCTGGCGTCATCTTTTACACTCGAGGTTCTATTTTGTGTGTTAAAAGCCACATGAACTAAATTTGTGCCCTTGAAACTCTTCTTCTATTAGCTTCTGCTCTATGCTGGCATATTTTCTGTTTGCTGTACTAATTATCAAGCTTTCCTCAGATGTTTGGGTTTTTTTTTTCTCCACCCACTCAGAAGTACTTGTAATGCTCTCATTAATTTTGGAATAACCGTATGAAAATTCTGCTTAGAAACCAGTGACATGCAGAGCGTATCCTGGATCAGAAGAGCTCTGTTGGTATATTTAAATGCAATGAGACACATGGTTTTTTTCTCTATCTGTAGCCTTTCTAAATTAGATTTATAAAGGATTTAAAAAAAGACCGTCTGGATCAACATTAGACCTTTTTATCTCAGGCTCATGGCTACGTTGTAGGGCTGCTTCAACTCTACACAGTATCATAAAAGTTTGCCAGCAATAGTGAAGTATGGATGCCCTCATGCAAGGCACCTGTGAAGGTTTCATTTAGAAGACAGCTTATGTGCTAGATCACCAATGTTCAAGATGAGCTCAAACTGAACCTGCTTCACGAAAAGCTCTCTGTAGTGATCGAAGGGAATGGGGAATCTGCATCACAGGGGGCTGAGAGCCTGGTGGCTTGTTTTGACCTAGTAATCATAGAATCATTTGATTGGAAAAGACCTGTAAGATCATCGAGCCCAACCGTACCTGTCCACTACTAAACCCTGTCCCTAAGCACCTCTTCTATGTGTCTTTTAAATACCTGCAGGGATGGGGGCGCAGCCCCTTCCAGTGCTTGACAGCCCTTGTGGGGAAGAAATTTTTCCTAATGTCCAACCTAAACCTCCCCTGGCACAACTTGAGGCTGTTTCCCCTTGTCCCATCACCCGTTCCCTGGGAGCCTGACTGACCCCCCCACCCACCCCTGGCTCCCCCCTCCTGTCAGGCAGTTGTAGGGAGTGGAAAGGTCTCCCCTCAGCTGCTGCTTCTTCAGGCTGAACCCCCGCAGTGCTCCCAGCTGCTCCCCATCAGCCTTGGGCTCCAGACCCCTCAGCAGCTTCGTTGCCCTTCTCTGGACGTGATCCGGTGCCTAGTGATGTGAAATCTAGGATCTGATTACTTAAATGTGTGGTTTGGGAAGGGGTGGGAGATGCATGTGAGAATGCACAAAAAATATCCAGGCTAGAAGACAGTGCTGACATGAGAATAGAGGTGAGAAAATTTAGGATGAAAATTAGACTGCTGACAGTCAAAACACAGACCTTTGCTCAGTAGACCAAAGGGGAGAGTAACAGTTTTTAAGATAGCTTGTGCTTAATTCATAAAAAGGGCTGTATATGGTGTGGCTGCCCACATCAGAAGCCTGTAGATGGCCTAGATGTCCCATCCCCATTCTGTCTTTTGCTAGATAACTGCTTTGGTGCAATTCTAGGGCATGAATATTGCTGCCTGCCTGTCGTTCAGCCTTGTTTCTCCTCTGAGGAGACAGTTGTGGAGGGTAGAACATTTTGAAGCAAATGTGCTTTAGATGGTACACGAACAGTTAGCTGAACTGGGGCCAGCTGACTGTGTGTGTGTGGATTGTACCGGTACAGGACCCAGCGGCTGCCGCGGTGTCGCAGCAGACTGAGATGGCACAGAGCCTATGCAGACACCAGTGAAGCCAGTGGAATGTCTCCTATTGACTCCAGCAGACTGCAAATTAAGCTTTTAGTTGTTATGATTCACAGTAACTAAGGAAACCTAAATTCACAACATGAGAGTCTGAAGCTTTCCTTTTGAGGCCTGAAAAAGACTGTGACACTCTTTGATTTTTGAAACGGAAAGGCCTCTCACCATCTTTTTGTCGAGTGTATGCTTGGTTCTGATGTGAGACTTGGTGAGAGGGGCTATTATTTTTGTGCACCAGGAGTGCAATGGACTGTCCCTGCATGATGTGTCTGATGCTAAATTTGGAATGTTAATTTTCAAGTTGTTTGTTTTTCTTTTTTGGTTTTTTTTTTTTACCTCCCCACTTAGAATAATGGCCAGCTACCCTTTTGGGAGTTCCTGCAGGGTGCAGATCTTACACAGGCACTTCCATTTCTTTTCATAAGGAAACTGAAAGGGTTGAGAGGTTTCGCTAAATGTATTTTCGTCACACTTATTTGTTGAATGAGTGGTTGTTTTCTGAGGTGGTCTTGTTTTTTTCTAAAGTAACCAATTTATACTTATACGATGATATATATCTTCACAAAGAAGCCTTGAAATTAAAAGCCTAACAGCTTTTTTTTTGTTGTTGTTTTACAGTCACCTCTTAGCCATGACCTCATCCTTAACCTGACTCAGGATGGAATCAAACTGCTGTTTGATGCTTTCAATCAGAGACTTAAGGTAATAAAATGCTCTTCCTGCAAACAAAACAATGCAAGCCAAAACCCTGGGATATATTGACACTTAACATAAGAGCATAAGTATGTGGTTCTTTCAGGCATTTAATTTGCCACATGTAGTGCTCTCTTGTGATAATGAACTGCGTGTCTTCAGTGTGGGGGTTAAATCTTTATTTATAGGGTTAAGACACTTTAGCATTGTACTGGGGACTGTAAGAGTGCCATAGGAGTGTGATGGTCCAGTGTGGTATTGCTTGCCCAGCTTGTCTCAAGTCGCAGCAGAAGCTGCGAAAGGCCATTGGTAAAGCTAAGCCTAGGATTTGAAATCAGATCATCAGTTAATGCAAACCAGACAGTGTTGTTTCCTGCCCAGGTTGTTCCTTTATCTCTGCTGCCATTTTATTTTTGAAAGTAAATTTCCTCCTCCTCTTAGTTTTCGGTTGAGTTAGGTTCACAGAGTACTTGTGTGGCTGTGAGCCTGTGATTTCTCCTAGAAAGCCACGTTCAGGCCTGGTGTGAGCAGCTGCCTCCTGTACTGAGTTCAGTTTGTTCTGGATGAATTTTTGTTCTTGCGATTGAAGTCTTCAGCCCAGCAATTCTGCTTCTGTGCTTTTAGGTGTCCAGGTATTGATCTGCCTCTCTCTAGGATGCTTTGTGTAGTTAAGATGCAAAATAAAGGGCAGGCTGGTCGCTAACCTCCCATGGCATTCATGCTCACAAGATGTCTGTTATGAAAGTGCTATGTTTCATCCATGCAAAATGGGCAACTGTGGGACTGTAGAGATACAACTACATTAGTATGAAATTTTGAAAAACTTTAACTGAAACATTTAAAATATCTACTATTAAAATTTAAAATATCTACTTTATATTTACATTTAAAATATCTACTACACTTAAAATATTGTGTAACTACCTTAATTATTCAGGGTAATCCTTTTGGCAGGACCAGCTGTGCTGAACAATTGTCAGTGTGGCTCTCACCTGGTGTGCAACCCAAATTAGTAGTTGTTAGAAGTACTTATTTCTCTATTAGTAACTTGTAACACCATGGTATGTTCGGGGTTGGTTTTGTTTTTGTTTCCAAAATCTTTTTTATTAACTATAAGAGTACACATTTTGAAGAATAATTTTCAGTTCAAACTGAGTGCCCCTAGAGGACAACTGAGCACTTTTTTTGCCAGATTTCGGTTTGTAATTGCCTTATGGTAATTTCTGTTCATGAAGTCATTCTGTAATAATGGGATTTTTATTTTTGTCAAGGTTAAGAACTTAATTATTCAGATTGCATATGTGAATTCACAATTTTTAAAATAATATCTTGAAAATTCTCTTTGTCAGATGGATCTTTATCAGTGTGAGCTACACCTGTCATGAAATTTTTCCAAAATATATTTAAGTCCTCAGGAGACTGAACTCAAAACTGACATAATCACTTCAAGCGCATGGCTTGCTTACTGACAGTTTTTGGAATGTTGCAATCTCGTAATGGTTTTGAAGTGCTGTAACTGGTGTGTGCCACATCTCCATCTCCAGTGTTTGAGGTTTTGACTTTGTCATATCAACACCCGGTGTTCTAAGAACTATGCAAGAGCTTTTCTTCTCACCTTTCTCTACAATGTGTTTTAAAGAAAAAATAGAAAAACCAAACTCTTCTGGTGTGTTGTGGTTCAGTGGTCTAGTGATACCTTTTGTTTGTTTTAACTATGAAGAGTAAAGCTGTGTAAATGCATACGATGCTGTGAAAACTTACACTTGTAAAAGTGGTCAGAAAGCTTTAGAGAAGAAATTCTATGGGATCAGTTCAGAAGTGAGCAACAGGACTTGTTAAAGAATAGTGTAGGTGTAGAATAAATAATGCCTGTTTTTTTAAGATGGTATGGTTCTGTTTTCAGTGCTCCTCAGCTTCAGCAAAACTGGAAAAATCAGGATGCCTTTTCTCTTTGCTTTGTGTGTTGTTTTTTTTAATACACACTTGCTATTAGATTTGGTTGTGAATAAGATTGAAATACAGGCTACTAAAGTGGAAAGTCTTGATGGACCCGAAGAAGCTGGTGCAGGAATAAAGCCGTAGCGATGTTCCTAAAAAGCTTCATCCCTCTTCTCGGGGAGGGGAGGAAGGATTGTGCATAGTCTCTTTACTTGCCTTCAGTAGCCAAAGCACTGCAGGAGATGTTACTAACATGGGCTAGCGTGGAAGAGTAGATCCAGGACCAGATTCTGAAAGCATTGATACGAATTTTAGCAACAAGGTCTCTCGCGCACGCTCCCTCTGAGGTAGAGAAAGAGTTAGGTTTCACAGTGTTGGTCTGTTATTGCTGGTTAGTAGATACCTGAAGGTTTTTGAGTCTTACTCAGTAGTAATTATCAAAATGGTGAGTGTGACCAAATGTCACGTTTTGTTAATTTAAACCAACTGCCTTCTGGCTGTGTAGTAAAAACCCATCGCTGAACAGTCGTTGGTCTTCTCAGTTCTTGTTCTTCTGCATGTAGAAAGAATCACGCTAGTCCTTTTGTCAGTGTAGCTTCTGTAGGGTAAAAAAATAAATCCTTTTCTAGTGCTGTGGCCTGTTGCAGTGGCTTTTCAGTACACGTATCTTTCATGGCTTTCATGAGATCTTTTGACTACCTTCAAACCTTGCTAAGTTGCACTTGTTTCTTCCTCTGCTGTTAGTAAAAAGAAATGTTGACATGAATGGATCTGTCTGAATTGTGGGAAGAGGGCCGATGGCAAATAGGTGCTGGCTGGCTGCTGTCAGGATGCTTCTCTCGCGGGGCCCTCATTTGTGCAATGTGCTGTTCCTCGTGCACCGCTCCTCCTTGTTCTGCTTGTCCTTTGTCTGCCACCACTGCAGTGTGTTTCAGCAGAACTTCAGGAGAGTGCCTGATGCTCTCCAGTAGTTGCTGCAAAACTAGATCTGTCTGTGGGGTGCTTTTCTCTATTTTCAGAAACATTTTGGGGGGGAAGATGATGTGGGAGGTCACTAAAAAAATCCTCCCTTTATTTTCATAAAAGCAGCCTTTTTGTTGCTGTGCAGTAAAAGAACCCTGGACATGTCAAACTGCACTTGAATCAAAATACTGGATAACCAGGTTTTTCCCAGAAGCACAATCCAAAGTATATTTATTAAGAAGAAAAATTTGTTTGCTTCTCTCTATGTTGGTTCTGCCAGAATGTTCATTTGTTACTTGCTTTGTGCTGCACTTGTTGCTTAAATCCTGAAATGTGTGGGCTTCCTGAGCAAACAAAATGCTTCAAAGAACTCTTCCAACTTTTGTGAGTCAACAGCGTACCCTTAAATGTTGATTTATCTTTTATTTTTTTTTTATACAGTGGTTTAAGCATTGCAAGTTGTTTTATTTAGGGTTATTTGCCAGGCATCTCTCAAAACCAAGACTTCCTTCTTAGCTGGTGATGGTTTTAGGCTTTAAAGCCACGTTTGGTAGCAAGCTCCCTGGGGAATTCTGCTTTATTCTCTAGCTGAAAAGTGAGTCCTTTCTAAATCTGCCAGTGATTTGTTGGAGGATTATACAAAGCAATAAGAAGCCCTTTACTTTTTCTTTACAGCAGTTACAATGTGGCCTACGTATTTTCCTTTTACTGCTGACACAGGAACACATGCAGAGGGTGGAGGAAGCTTGTATTTGACCATGGTTACTTGCCAAAAATGATCTGCTTAAAGCCCAGTCTAGCCTCAAGGTTCAGTAACAGTCACATAAAAATAATATGAAATCAATTTCAGATGCATGTTTGCAGCAACGTATTCAGAACAAAGGATCAATACCTAATATTATCTGCAGAGAGGGGAGCTCCTTGGAATGTTCAATAAAGTCCAAAATAATAAATATCAGAACTAAGTGTTATGGCTTGCTCTGATTCTTTATGGGCTGCTCTTCTGGTTGTCTTCTGTAATGCTTGCAGAGATGGCTAGATGTCTTTTTATGTAGTATTGAAATGAAATACTACTACTTAGTCTTGCTGTGTTCCTCTTCTGCTTTAGAAGGAGTTGGAAAGTTTGGACAGTGCAGTCAGTGGTAGGACTTACTACCCTGCGCAGGTGTTCTTCAGGGTAATGAGCAGCCCAAGGAATGGCTTAGTGTTTGACATTCATTAGAGCATTCCCTAATTAGCTAACCTTTGCTATTACTTTCCTTTGAACTTGCTTAAGAGTAATCTTTGGAGAAGTCAAGATGCTGATGTTTTCGTGATTTATCTTAGCAGAGTTCTGTTAATGAGGGGAGTGAGTAGTGCTACCTAGTCTTGCCTTTTGATGAGAATTTGCCTCTAATGATTTGCAAATGCGTGAAGTATGGTGATATTTGTTTCCTGTGTTTCAGGTGATTGAAGTTTATGACTTGACTAAGGTGAAGTTAAAATATTGGTAAGTGATTTAAGACTTCCCATGATTTCTTCTTGGTTACAGTGACTGGTTTCTCTCCTGTTTTTTTTTTATCCTGTATTCATTTTTTTAAAATCATTCTTCCTAAAAAACAAAAATAACTGTCAAAAAAGAATGTAGATAATTACCCTTTATTGAACATAGCACTTGGTTAAACTACCAGTTTACTCTTTCCTTCAGTCTTGGAGAATTCTTTTAATTTAAATGTGGTATTGCCATTACTAAATGTGTGTAGCATCCGTTCAATATTATAAAGGCAAATTAATTTTGTTTTCTTTTTCAGTGGTGTCCATTTTAACTCTCAGGCAATTGCTCCAACCATAGAACAAATTGATCAGTCATTTGGAGCAACGCATCCAGGAGGTAAGCTGAAGTATTTCTGGGAATCGGAAGCACAGACTTCTTTCCAGGAGGTCTTTCCTCTACATCTGCCTAGAGAAATGTGCAGACACTTCTGTTGTCAAATGATCTGAAGTTGTGTTCCAGAATGGTCGTATTCTTATAGCTGGGATATCATGTAAAATGTACTGTAAGTTCAGTTGTGACTTTCTTTAAGTGAAATAGTGAGGGAGAGAGTCATTGGCACAGAACGGTATGTTCAGATATCATTAATGATCTGTTTTGAACTGTCAGTACCGGAAAATCGTGAGCTTTGTTGTTGATGCTGTTGGTTTTATGCATTCTTATGCATGGTCAGCTCCCGAGTGTCCTTAGGAATTAAGTATACCATGAACATCCAGACATTTGAGCTGATCTCTGTGCAGAGCCAGCCGGGACTGTTTGCTCAGGCTCTGTGCTCTGAGATGAGAACATGGTCATACTCCTGCTAGGGCAGGATCAAGCCTGAGCCTGTGTATAACTGGCTTGCATCTCCCTGTGCCTCCTTCCTGTTACTGGGAGCACTGGAGAGTTGTGAAGTCAGCCTACATGCAGCATGACCAGAACCAGAAGAAGTTTAATTAACCTGGCTGAACCTGCTCTGACTCTTGCACAGCTACTTGGCTGTTCACCACCACTGTAGCAGGAAAAAGGTTATCTTTAAGCTCCTGGTTTACATATGAAAGTGGAGAGCGTATTTGTTTGTTAGGTGATGAAAATAAGCCAGTGGTGAAACTTTGAAGAGTATATTTATAATTAAACTGCTGAGGAACCATCAAGAAATGGAGCCACAAACTGGCATAACAAGAAAGAAGATTAACTCCATATTCTATTTTTAGGTTAACCCCGTCTATTTGCAGTAGTTAGGCTGATCCCAAATAGGCTAGCATTCTTTGTGATTGATGGCGACTGCATATCCAGTCGTTGTCCCTCTTCTCTGCAGGCAATCTCTTGCACGTTACGGAACAGGATTTATTAACTGTGGAGGGTCATGTGGCTAAATTAACATCATAGCATGAAAGCCTGCTGTAGTGATGAATATCAGATTGAGATAAAGGAAGCTTGGAAGATTTCTAGCCATAATACTCCAAGGACCAGAATCAGCCTTTTTAAATTTCACTTTGGTTATGCTCTGAACATTTCCTCTTGGGCAGAAGCTCTGAGAACCATAGCTAGCTATTATGGAAATAGTACATACAAGACTGTTTATAATTTTAGCTTGTTCTGTGACAATGGTTTATTTGTAAATATTTAGAGAAGTGCTTGCATAATTGTGATATTATGAACTATAAAAATAAATATCCATCTCTAAGCATTACTTACAATACCAACAGCATGTTTTATTACTGCATAAAATTGTATGCAAGCGCTTAAAAGCGTAGCTTGGCACCACATGTCCTCATGCTGAATTTGCCAGATCTTGTGCGCCTGTCATATTCAATTCAAAAAACTTGCACATTTGCTTCATCTGATGATAGTTTTTAATGAGCTCTTTTCATCCAATGACACATAGATATGAGAATGTGTTTATTAAAATGTTGGCCTCTACAACCATTTCACCAGTGCTTTTGCTTATTCAGTTTCCTCACTGGAAACTCAGTATCTTCCATTTAACAGCCTACTTAGCAGAAGTTAATGCTCTATATTAAGCTGCCTGTCATAAACAGTTTAACCTGTATCATGCAATGCAAGTTTTTGAGAACTTTTTTTTCCAAAAGGCAAAAAAACAGAATAGTTTTTAGCACGTGGGAGGGATGATGATGGTGTTTTCTTGTCCCGCAAAAATTTGTGCCGTGGTAGGGAGAGAAAGGTGGGAAGAGAAACCTTCCTCTTAATGTGACCAAAGTACCAAATGTCAGTTTTCATGAATGGAAGTATGACATAACCATCCCTTTTCTTCCCTGTACCAATGCTCCTCCAAAACCCCAACACAAGCCCTTTGAAGTTTAAAAGTACTTTGTTGTTTATCTCTGCGTTAACCTCCACCAGAATTTCAAACAAAATGGTGTCTTTCACTTAAACCCAAGGTGGTTACAGCAGAACTTTCCTGCAACAGGATACAGTGGTAGTTTCAGAACATATTTCAAAAGGTTAGCAACTGTTCTGTGTTGAAACAGACTTTCACTGAGCAGTTCTGGTTTTGCCAAATCAGTGGTTTTAAAAAAGAGGAGTCATCAGGAAAATTGCAACCAGCTTCATTACTTTTTGGCTAGTGTTAGTTTGAAACATTGTAGTATCTCTGTTGTGGGGCTGCTTGAATTATGACTGCTTTGGAGGTCAATAGCTTCATCCAAGCCAGGATTTTATCCCACATTTCCATGATTCTCTGACCTGACCTCCTGCTGGGGAGAGCTTGCTCTTGCCAGCCAGCGGTTCTGTTGAAATCACATCCTGTTCTGAGTCCTTCTGGATGTGGCTCTTTGCCGAAGTGCCATTCGGCTTGGATAGAGGCTGTGGGATGGAACTGGAGTCATAAGGTAGAAGAAAATAAAACATCCTTCCCTCCTGCCCTAGTGGCCTTTCAAGGTTGGGGGCAGATCCTGTCTTCTCACTCTGTAACTCTCGGAGACTTCAGACGTTGCCCAAGCTCCCCTGGGTTGCCAGAAAAGTCTTGTGCTTGATACTAGGAAGACTTGACTTTTGGATCTGCCTCTGCTTTTATCAGGACTGTCTCTGTTCTGCAGGCTTGCTGGTGCCGGTGGCTTTGTCCCATCCTGCTCTACAGAAACATTTTCCAGCTGGTCACAATCTGCTGCTTTCCTGGAAGGCGAGCTCTTCCCCCCTTCCTTCACCCAGAGGGCAGCAGCAAAGAAGCAGTCTTTTTGCTTCTATCAGCAATTTTGAATGGAATTATTCTGCAGGGTTACCTGTGTAGTAAATGAATTTTAAAACAATAATTAAAAAAAGGCTTACCTTGTTCGGTCAGGTGGTTGTGACATATGGTCTTGAGGGAAACATGAGAACTTAGTAAGGATAAAAACATTCCTTGCTGTTTAAGCCTAGACATCAACAAACATTGCAGGGGATGGGAACTGATGCGATTTATATAATCAGATATCACACTTGGCATGACTAGGGGAAAAACACTTCTCTCGCTGGCTGTGGGCTTTGGAAAAGATGCATCATAATTTATCACATGAGAGAGATTTGTGTAATTTTCCTGCAGATCAAAACATTTCCCTCTCCCCACACGTTTTCCTTTGAGTGACAAGCAGGGAAAATGCTCTTAACCAGCACGTTCTGCAGAAAAGGCAAATGATGACTTTTGAAAGCTTAATGCTTATTGCTCAACTGTTATTTTTCTATCCTGGGCAGTCTGGCATTGTCCAGATATCTTGTGACATGTCTCAAGTTGAACATTTGAAAGACGCTTTTGGGGGTGAGGGGGGGAGAAATATATTTATATGCATTTTCTCTCTAGGCTACATCATCTTAAATACAGAACTGTAAGAAAGTAAGAGAATATTGAACTGATTTCCTTTGGTAAAGTGGAAGAAAGCAGCTTCTCTTGTTGGAGTGTGTGGTTTTTTGGTGTTTTGGGTTTTTTTTTGTTTTGGTTTTTTTTTGGGTTTTTTTTTTTGCCTCTGCTGTTTTCAAACTGTTTTGCAAATGAACCAGATTCTGTGTGTTAGAAGACCATTGCTCCCCAGTGACTACAGGAGCACAGATAGTTTGGTAGCATCAATCCCCAAGCTGTTCCCAAGCTCCCAGTCTCCTGGGATCATTTTTAAGCTTTCCTCAGTCTCACAAAACAGTATGTTTTGTTAGAGTAAGCACTGGGATGACTTCTATTGCTGTTTATAGTTGATGATGTGCAGTTTGTTGCAATAAATCAGGACAGCTCGTGATGTGATGACAGCTGGAAGTCTGTGCATGTTCTGATTTATTACTGCTCTTTGTAAAAGCTGACCCATCGGCTGGTGTTTCTGGTGATATTATTTTTAATTATGATTGTAAATGGCCTAGGACCTGCATGTCTGAAGTGTTTCCTTCTTGTTTTGTATTACTCGGGAACACAGACAGCTGAACTGGGGCATGCGAGCTGGAGCTCCTCTTGGGAAGGAGAGGTGGAAGGGGCAGCTCCTACTCAGGAATGTACTTCCCGCTGGTGTGAAATATGGAATTTATCAGCGTTCTGGACAGATCTGTCTAAAAGACTTTCTGGTTAATATTCTACAAGTGTACATAACAATGAACAGAATTGTTTTGTACTAACAGTAGCTGTTTAAACTACTTTAGGTATATTAAGGTATAATTGATTGTGTCATGTTGTATAATTGTATCATTAGGGATAGGTTAGTGCCTACAGGCTTACGTAGGCAATGCTAATGAATCTAAGGTTTCTCTTACTGCTATGTTTCTGCTGCAAAAAATTGAAAGGAAAACTGTTACTGTCCTGTGTAATTGTGTTCCTCCCGCATCGAGATGTATTAAATCCATTGATGTCATGAAAGTGCTGTTCGATCTGAACTGGAGAATTCTCAGTTTATTTTTGTAACTCTGTTTTTATTTTCTTTTCCCTTTTAGTGTATAATTCAGCTGAGCAGCTCTTTCACCTCAATTTCAGAGGACTGTCGTTTTCTTTTCAGTTAGACTCCTGGACTGAAACTCCGAAGTACGAGGTCAGCAATCATTCTTAGTTAATGGATAGTCTTTTTTGCCTCTATGGTACTTGCAAAATATCACCTACAGCATGTCTTGCCTGCAAACAAAAGAAACCAGTAATTTGGAAAGAATTTAACTCCTCAGTTGTGCTCTTATTCATGCTATGTAATCATTTTGAAGTTAAAAATTTTCTTCCTTTTAGCACAAGGCATATGCTTAGAGGTTTTGCTTGCATCATGAACTGGGACTAGCAATTCTGTTGTTGGAGTCTTCTAAAAATATGAGTGCTCTCTATAACAAATACGTGAATATTAAGCAATTTACTGGAAGGCTTTTCTTCTATCAGATATTTTTGAATCTCATCAAAGTGATTATGCAGCTAAACTAGGACAGAATTCATAAAATACATTTTCATCTTAAGTGTCCTCCAGCGTGAGTGCTTTTAGAAAGCCAAAGGAATGAGCTTTATTTGTAATGCCTCTGCATATTCACCAAATGGTCGGATGAGTTACTGAATAATTGAAGATATTACCACATTCTCTAAAATCTTTGGAAATCACTGTCTGTGGTGGAAACAAGATCGGGTCTTCTGTGATTTCCAGCTATGCTAACAAAAATGTATGTTTAACTTGTTTTGTGTGATGATGAAAATGCTCTCAGTTGTATTATCTAGGCTTATCAGTTACAAAGAATGTGTACTGTATGGTATTAAAATAAAAAGGAGCACTTAAAGAGCCAAAGCAAAGTGGGAGAAATCAAGCAACATGATGACACATGTTCTTATGTCACATCCTGGTACTTTAGCAGTTGTGTTTTGACATGTGAGAGCACAGGGGGTAGCCAGGGGAAGTTACTATTTAGCAGTAGTGAAGGTCAGTTGGGTTTCAGGAGTATTGGAAGGTAAATAGAAACCTAGTAAGCCAAACAGAAAGAATGTCCCAACAAAGAGTAGTTGCTTTTCATGTGAGAGTTCCCAGGGCATTTATGAATGAACTGGCCGAGCTGCGAAGAAAGTAATTTGTTATACTGAGTATTTGAAAAGATCATAGAGTCATAGAATATCTCAAGTTGGAAGGGACCCATAGGGATTATCAAGTCCAACTCCCTGCTTCTTGCAGGACTGCCTAAAACTAAAAGATGTCCAAATAAAACTGCTAGGATATATTTTAGCCATTGCATCTGTGTGTCTTGTTTTGGTACACGGTTCGGTTAACTAAGAAAATTGGGGATTAGTTACAGAATGCTTGGTGCAAATATGCTCCGAGTCTTTCATCCAGTGTTCAAATGAGGTTAGTAAAACGTTTGCGCAGAGCGAAAGGTGAAATTCTCCCCAGAGTTATAAATAGGTAGAAATAGAACAGTTTTAGAAAACAAAGTAGTATGAAACAGCCCACAGGGAAGACAGCTATTTGTGAAGCCTTTCAGGGAGGAACATTAGGAAAGACTGAAGAGTGAAATGAAATTTGAAGATGTCAAAATCTTTTCCAGTTCAGAGAGGATCATATACAAATGCTAAAGTAGTTAGCAAAGCTGTCTGATCTCTGCTTATGGAAATGAAAAAACTCTGAAGAAAACTTTGGTGTTTTTTTATAGCTGGTAACAGGCTACAGGTGAGGAGAATGTGAAAACCTACTCACACTGTTTCTCTTGAGAAATGAGGCATATATAGCCGAGGCACTTCCATGGCTCTAGGCCAGATTTTTCTGTTGCTAAGGCATGAGTAGGTTAAAAAGTAATATGAAGTCTGACAACTTTAGAAAGCTGTGTTTTGAGGTGTTGGTGTTCTGGGCACATTCAGAAAGAGGACTGAGATCAGGGCATCTCTAGGTTTGCTAAGTAATGGAGGTTCCCTGCCTACAGCAGTGAAAGTTATTGCTCTGGGTTAATTTTTTTTTTTTTTCCCCCCTAAGAATAACTTTTTGTATTTACCTTGTGTGATGTCCTGCTAAACTAGACCAGGATAATGGTTTGCATATTGTGCCTCTTGTTTTTGTTGACTGCTTCTGACAAAGTTAGTTTCATTCCTGTCCAGTGTCAGCAAACATGTTGTCAGTCTTGATGAAAGTCCTGTCATTTTCAGAGCTGAAAGAAATAGGCTCTTACCGCACTAGAAGAATGAATGTGACTTCCTTAGCACGCTTTCTGTTTCATGAGAACGCTCAAAATCCCTATCAAAACAATATGCCAAAGAATGTGGTGATAAGGAGAGTGGAAAATCTCTTTAATGAATGAGTATCTGTTCAGATAAAGGCATTTTACAAACCAGCAAAAATGTTGTAAGGCTCAGATGAATGCAATGGGAGAGAAAAAAGAAGTTCTACCTTTATGATAGCCGATTTCTTAGCACTTAAATACAGTGTATCAGTACAAATACTTTTATATTGCTAGTTGTCAGTGATAAAACCAAGAAAACTTGGATTCTCAGTACACACCATGGCTAATTGTCAGACTAGTGCCATCTTTTGGCGGACAAATGTAGCGAGAATTTCACCCCAGCTTAGGAATCCAGGAGTGGTGTAATGTAAAGAAACACCATCTAGAAGGGGGTTTTGTTGATGTTTTTTCCCCTTGTCTCTGGCTAGAGACTTATCTGAATTGGTAAGCATATACCGTATGTCTAATGTAATTTATAACTTTGACCTGAAGCGTCTACTGTGTCATATAACAAGAATGATTTTTGTATATCCACAGCCTAACTTTGCCCACGGTCTGGCCTCTCTGCAAATTCCACATGGTGCGACTGTGAAACGTATGTACATCTACAACGGAAACAGTCTGCAGGATACCAAGTATGTATAGCTGGTCATGCTGTTTTGGTCGTTTAAATATACTACTACTTCCTTGTTTATTTAGGGTTTTGCAAATGCTAAATATAACTCATTTTTATACCACATTTTTAGTTCAGTTTTGGTCTTTTATGAATTTGGTAGTATGCAGTATGCCTTTAAATACCAACCTCTTTCAAATTTCCATAGGCGTTGTCCTCAGACCTTAAAATCAAATATTGGTTTCTTGCACAGCTTGGCTCAGCTGTAGCAGGCTAATTCAATTGACCTGAAAATGAATTCATTAAGTAAAGGAGGAAATGTGGTGAATCTAGTAAGAGATGCAGTTAGCCTAGTCTTATTCTAGATTTTGTTTGCATGTTAATGACCTGTCCCTAGGCAAATCAAACTTGGTGTAGGCAGTCAGTAATTTTGTAGTGTATTGGTACTATGTAAGTCATGGCAGGGTCCTGCCAAGGGTCTTAAACTCTCTCGCTATACAAAAATAATAAAATATCTATTTTCAGGCTTAAGCTCTATGCATGATCTACAATATATTCGATATATTTGCAGTTACCTGACTGAGCTTACAATTCTGAGGAAACTAATCTTTGTGCCTTAGTACTAATGGAATAGTTGTATTTTAATATGGTTGATCTTCCCTGTGGTATTGTGTTCTGCCTTCTTTTAAGCAGTAACTTACTGTACGACATCTGATGGTTTTCTCTTTCTAAAAACATTGTTCCTGAGCTTCCTTACTCAAGGAGAAATTAAAAGGACTTCTGTAAATTCTGCCTTTCAGCTTATAAATACCCAAACCGATAAGGCGGTAGTTTTTGCAGTGTCAGTTGTGTTTTAAACCTAGGAGAAGATTAACACATCTGTGGATGATTGCTCAGAAGGAAGGGAGCCTTGTTTATGCAGACATTGTCTCCTAATTAGACATAAGTGCACTTCAGAAAAATGTTGTTGTCTGTGCCCATCTGTGATGTGGTGGGCTTTAGTGAAAGCACTAATTGTCACATGGGGCTCTCTGACATGTGTGTGAGCGCTCCAAGCCTGACTTTCAGCTCATGTCATTCACATAGAGGAGAAGTTCACATAAGAAAAGTGAGTTTTACAGAGCATCTACGAACTAGCACACAAAAAGCAGCCCTTCCCTTGAAAATACCTACCTTGGGGCTGTTGTAATTATCTCAGATATTATTGTAATTGAATTAAAATGAGAACTGTCCCAGTAAAGCAGAACAATTGTTTGTGGTGTACCTGCACAAGCTGAATTTATGTTCTGGGCTATGGAGTACCTTCCCAAGAGCAGTCAGAACATCACAGAGAAGGCTTTTCTGCTGCGTTTGGGCGATAGGTCTAGCTCAAGGGCTTAGGTTATCTTCACAAACTGTACAACTTCCATTTTCCCTGACAGAAGTCTGAAATTATACATCCTTATAGGAGGTATCCAAAGGCTAGGTACAGTTTCTGTAATTTCTGGAGTCTTTGAAACTTGCTGTTTCTATCATTAATAGTAAAGGTCCTGCATTTCAGTGCTGCCTTGTTGTTCCTCTTCCTTTTTCCCCAGAATTTGTGATCCTTGTGTTTAATACAACTTTTAATCTTCAGTCTGAGTTGAATGTAGCTTTGTCAAAAGTAACGTACTCTGTTCTGGTGAACTGGTACCAGCTTGTTAATGGAAAATTTGAAGATTAAGCGAATCCTATGCACGGGGTTTTTTGTATGCTTGGTTTCAGGGCTCCCTTGATGCCTCTCAGCTGTTTCCTGGGTAATGTGTATGCTGAGAATGTTGATGTTCTGAGAGATGGAACTGGACCCTCAGGTTTACGGCTTCGCCTCCTCACTGCAGGTATTAGTGACACTTGAAACATTGAACCGGTTGCTTTCCTCAGGAAAAGAGGGATAGACCTGTATAAATTAAGCATAGGTTATTTGTGGTGATTTTACAGGTGATTTCAAAGGGTTCTGTGTACCTTATTTTGAACTATTGGAAACAAAACCCAATAAAAACCCTGTGAAGGTGAGTCTGCCTGCTGCTGCATTTCCCTGGCCCTGGAGAAATCATGGAGGACTGTAGCCCTGTCCTCTGCAGTTCCAAGTCCTTAGTCTGTAGAAATGGAAATTGTCTCCAGGTGTGTGTGTAGAATAAACAGATGCAAGTACATCACTGAAAAAAAACAGGAGAAATCAAGAAACTTCATGTATACCTGCTTTTTCTGAGATTCCAGTAAGCTGTATAATGTTGATATTTTTGTGATTAATTCTGGAAGGCTTTTAAAAATGCCAGCAAGAGACCACATCAATGCCGCAGGCATAGACTGCACTTTAAATTCAATTCCATTTTCATTTGCTGTAGGAGACATCAGTGAAAGTGGCAGGCTGATGAATACCTTCTCCTCATGTGTGCTTTCAGAGGCAAGGCGGGCGGGGTTAGAAATCAGGGAAAGAAATTATGACTGTCAGGGAGCCTTGTTCAGTCACCATAACCTGAGACTTGACAATGTTTTTAAGAAAAAGTACTGAGATGTTTTTAACAATTTTCATTAGCAGGCTCAGCTTGTGACCTCTTCTGGTTGCTAGCTATATGTATCTTGAGGAAACACTTGGAATATATTCCCAATGTGCAAGAGTTAAAAAGGAAAAAATTTAAGATGAAGAATAACAATTATGAATAAAACCAGAGCAGATGTTTTCAAGTTACTTTGCTTCTCTCTTTGCAGAGGAAGATAGTGGAGAGCTGCCTAGGATAGGGAGCATAGACCCTCGTGTACTAGGGAAGGAGTTAGCTATAACATCGTAGTAATAGAAATGATTTTGAGAAATTGGACACTTCTAAGGTAGAGTGTCAAGTTTAGTTAAATATATATATACACAGCTTAAAGGAGATGTTGTCAATGAATAAAATAATTAAAATATATCACTAGTGTTCATACTAAAACTTGCAGAGAGGCAATCTAGACGTGTTCTGTTCTTGTCTTGCTCGAGTTTGCAAAAACTCCTTTGTAGAATATATTGCACACCTGTTCTAGCACAAGTTTCTCTGCAAATGTATTAATTTGAAGTAACTCTTGCTTAAGAAATCAAGGACAAATCAATCGGATTTTTATGATTTATTTTATTGGGTATCTGGCTACATAAATAATGTATAGTGAGAAAAGCTGTGTGTATTCAGAGCACATCCTGTATTTTGCAGGAACTGCTGCATGTGTGTACATGCATTCTCATAAATGTCATTCCTAAAAGCATTCCTGAAAGCAAATGGGGTCACAAAGTGTAAGATCTTTCCGTTTCCTAACATCTAGTAACATATGTCAGCCATTCATCTATGTAATGGCTACTCAGTAAGATACATTTTCACCATTTTTTGCGTAGGAACATACTTGCAGTTGATTTAATAAGCTATGGGAATCTTGAGTAAAAATATGTGTTTTCTGATACAGTTAATATGGATGAGGAATTTCACTTCATGGGTTTTAATTTTTAGCTGGAGCTAGATCTCTACTTGCTAAAGCAGACTATTTTAAGGATAGAAATAATTCTTGGTACTTACTGCTAATAACCAGCTGATCAAATTGAGACTGACTAGGAAAACGAGCCATGTTCACTTAAATGGCAAGGAAGTGAAGAGAGCATTGCTGAAATTGGAGGTTAAGGTGGGGATCCATGCAACAGACAGCACATACATCGCTTTAATAAGACTTGTTTAAACGGTTGCAAAATAAAAGGTTAAATTTAGCTTGGCACCGTTGTGTAAAGGATGCAGCTGGTTTGTGATAAATAGAGGAATGCTAGGCTTTTGGTGTTGATTTGCTGGTGTATTCTCTGATCGGGAAGGATGAATTTTGAGTTGTTTTCCATTCCTTAGGTTGTGGCCCGGGTGTTTTAGCCGATGCCAAGATGCGGGTATTTGAGCGTTGTGTGTACTTTGGTGATTCATGCCAGGATGTGCTGAGCACCCTGGGGTCTCCACACAAAGTCTTCTACAAGTCTGAAGATAAGGTGAGGGTGTTGGTTCAGGCACAGAACTTTGTCTCTGTTCAGCGCTGTCTCGGTTTAATCATAGGGCCTGCTTTTTGCAAGGCCAGTGAAGTTAAACTTCCATGTAGCACAAATCATGCGTGCTTCCCTTGACATATAATAGACCAGGATGGACAGTTATATAATTTGATTTTAAAAGGCTTTTTTAAGCTGAATCAATGCAAATATCTTTAAGAAGAAAAAACAAAACATCATTTTAACTGGCTTAAAAATGGATAAAAATAGGAGCACTTTTGAATCCCAATGAGCCTTGGCAAGTGTGAGCTACCTACTTTTAAAATATATGTAAAATAATTTTAGCATATACCTTGATCCTTTCCTAATGTTTTTACATAGCAGCATATGAGTAAACATCTTACTTCAGATAACCAAAAAAAAAAGAAAAAAAACCTGATGTGTCATTGTGCTGCTGCAAGCAGCTGACGGTCCTGTCATGCAGCATCCTACATGTCTGAACAACAGCTTCAGACTAGGGCAACTTGTTTGAATGTAGTGTTACTGTTAATGGCATTCATCTCTGTGAGCGTTATTGAATACAGCTGAAAAATGTGTTTCTTGCAGATGAAAATCCATTCGCCCTCGCCCCATAAGCAGGTCCCATCAAAGTGCAATGACTACTTCTTCAATTATTTCACACTTGGAGTGGTGAGTGGGAAGCTTCCATAGACAAATTCATGTAAATTTTTGATTTAGCTACACAGCAGTCCTTTCAGAAGACCAAAGGCTGTGGGGAAATTAGAGACCGCAAAACTCTTGATTGTTGCCTGAGGAATCTCTGGATATGAACAGCAGCACTGACTTTCTTCTCTAGTGCTTACACATTCAATCAGTAACGTTTTATCGCCTCCGCCAGTGGACGGAGGGCTTTTTAGGTTTGCGCTTTGGTGTTCTCTTAGGTGTTCTCCCTCTGCCGTGCCTGATGCATGGATATACTAGTTCTTGTTTCTGAAATCCATGTTCCTGGCCTGCAGAACTGATAGAGATGTATCAATTGTGAAAGTTTGCTGGGTTGTGGGATGTAGTTTGACCTTCATGTCCCTCCTTACAGCTATTTTGCTTTAGTCTGCATTACTGTCAGTAATATGCAGAAGAACAAGACCTCCTTACAAAACTTGCCAACATTAGCAAATGAAACTACAGTTGTGATTGGGTGCCAGAGGAAATGTGCGTTTATTTGAATTTACAGAAATTGTCAGTTGCAATGAGATAGATACATATTGCTATATACAGGCACTATTTCAACTAATCTCGGGTTAGTTTGGGGAAAGCCACCTTCCTCTGTCCAAATTGCTTCATGGATCTCTGTTTTCTTCAACAGGATATTCTCTTTGATGCAAACACTCACAAGGTGAAGAAATTTGTCCTGCATACAAATTATCCTGGTCATTACAACTTTAACATGTGAGTGTAAAGAACTGATCTGTTAACGAGTATTTTAAAACACCTGAAAAGGAAATATTCTGTTCCCTTTACAGAATTCCAGTATTTTTTTCCCCAAGTGTTTTGGTGTATCTGGTAACCCATGGAGTTTTCAGCCATCATTATTAGTACTTTTTTTTAAAAATTACTTTCTTTTTACTTCTAAATGCCTTTATATTGTCAAGTATGTCTTAAAGCAGTAAATGAAGTAAAGTAGCTCTTGGTCCAGCTATAATGTGCGAACTCTCTTGCTAGAGGCAAACGTCATATTAGCAAGGTTGTCCATTTACTGGTAGGTAGGCTGCTGGTTTTTTTCCTGATGTTATTTCAGCTAGTGATTAAAAAAAAAAAAATCTCTCATGCTTCTGAACATATTTTCAATGATTTTTAAATGTAAACTCTTTAGGGGAGTAGTATGAGTTAAGGAATAAGTGATTAAAGCAAAGGTGTTTTCAGGCAGTTGGCGTTAGTGACAGAAATCTATAGTTCTGTTTCTAAGCTGAGTATTTCTCCATCTGCTCTGTGTAACAGAATAGTAATTTGTGCTGAAGGATCTTTTGTGTCCTTCAGAAAATAACATTAGGACATTACCAGGCTGCTGCCCTTTTTGATGTGAAAATAGAAATGAGAACTTTTCTTCTTGATCTGCTAGCATCGAGACTCTCATTTTATTATTCATGTGACTTTAATTCATTAAACTGGTTATTCAGAGCCCTAAGTTTGTGCTATGCAGTTTATTTTGGGTCTTCTGTTTTCTAATAGCTTTCCAATTTGCACTTTCTAGTTACCATCGCTGTGAATTCAAGATTCCGCTAGTCATTAAGCGAGGTGAGTAGTTCATCTCTTGGCCTGCTTCAAGGGGCATGTACCACAAAATGCTCAAAGGGGGAGGTATGATCAGTTTTCATTTCTAATGCACCCTTCCTTATCAGAGGACAGTGAAAGTCCTTGAGACAAAAGAGAAATTTTGGGGTTAGGTTTCTGTTTAAGTGAAAAAGATACTTCAGGACAAGTTTGCAGTTCTCTCATTTTACTTATGCTACGTTGTTTACTTACTTGGATCATATGAATATTTATCTGCAACATCACTAATTTTCTGTAATGCTGCCACTCTGCTAAAATCAATTATCTTGTACCTGGAGGCTCAAAATCTGTAAGGCAGTGTTAGTCTGAGCTGGTCTATCCCCCACCCGCTGTTGAACTTTTTAATCCTGAACTCGCTCTTGAAAGGCTTATTCATGATACTTAATATAAACTGGTTTAGCTGGGAATGAGAACAAACACCCAGAATATGTTGGGTCTATGTGCTATGGACAAAGCATCTCTGGCGTTCGCTTGAAAATCTCTACTTTAAAAAAAAAAAAATATAATCAGTAGTGCTGAATTCTACAAGATATTTAGATGCGCCCAGCTCTGTGCATCTAAGTAATTGCAACAAAGCATGGGGAACCTCCTCTGGCTGAAGATCATAGGGGTCGAGGTAGACTTCTTTTATGTAAGAATTAACAGGTGTTAAAAACCTGGAAAAACAATGTCTGTATGCACAAGCTTACATGAAAGTTGATTTGTACTTCAGCCAAGAGAATAAGCACGGAAGTTCTCACTTTTTAAATTACTTTCCCTTAAGTTATTGTGCAATACTTCAAATGCATCCATTTCTGATTATTTTATGCACTTCAAGTAGTACCATGAATCTCTTCTGAATATGTTGGGGGTTTAGCTTTGGGGGTTTGTTTGTTTGTTTTTTAATTCACTTTTATGGTCTCTAGCTTATGTTCAGGACATGTAACAAGTTGAAAACAAATGTTACAAAATTTATCAAGAGCCCATCTTCTTCCATCTGGTGGCAGTACCTGATGCAGCTTTATGTAACTCCCTTCTGTCGTTTAGCTTCAGACAATACATTTGACAGCCAGAGTTCTAGGGAACTCTTTTACCATAAAGAGAGCGTGTTTTTTTAGCAGGTGGAAAATACAGAGGAGCTCTCCATCAAATTAAAGACCATTTGCTATGTTTGACTTGTTTAGTGTCTGGGTCCATTCCCACTGCTTCAGGAAGGTCCTTTCAGTATTCCAAAGTCCCCAAATGTGGGTAAGAAATAGTGTTTGAAACCACCAGCAAACAGTTTATTTTTAAGACTGTTAGCAGAAATGCAACTCTGTCCTTACCTGCAGCTTTTTTTTTTTTATTATTCAGGAGGTAGACTGCAATTCCCAAGCTCCCTGCTATCTTTGTTTTTGAAAGAGTGGCATTTTAGTTGATATCGGGCCTGCCAGCTCCTGAGTCTCGCTCAAGCTGTCAGTTTTAGCCAGCTTCTTTTCCAAGAGTGTTTGGACTTGGAGTGGCACGTCATGTTATCTCGGTGAGCGGCTGTGCCAGGCCTGGCAGCTGAGTGCAGAGGGATGTACTTTCTTTTAGACTGGCGTTCTTCTGTGTAAGACTACAGCTTAAACATACACGGTGTTAGAACTTGGAACTTGCTGTAAATAGGCAGATTTGTTTAATCACCTTAATGGGCATTTAATCAGTGTTGTTGGCAACTCTGGTTGCTGGTAAGTGCTGTTAAATTTGTCTGTGAACTGATCAAATGCTTGTATGTCTCCTGCTATCTGAACTAACCTCCCAGAATAAAGGATTATATAGGAGACTGTTCAAGCATAAACTATAAAGGCTTTTCTGCTTTTCTTTCATAGATAGTGCTGATTCACAGACCGAAACATGTACAACATACAGCAAGGTATGTCTCTGCAAAACTGAATGTTTTCCTTCTTTTCTTAAACCAGCTAAATGATCTATGCTGACTTTGCAGTGTTCTCTGGAGAAATAATAGCAGTTGTATCATGTTTTAAAATAGAAAAGTTGCAGGCCAAAAGCTAACGTGTGTTTTGTGGTTTAAACATTTTGCTGCATTAAGGGTTGAAGGCATTAATGATAGCATGCTTCTAGTAAATTAAATTATTGCATTATTGCGTGCTTTGCACTTTAAGATAGCTGCAGGTAGACATAGAACAATAAAATAAGTGATATGGGAAAGTGGTAGCAGTTGGTGGCTGAATAATAGCTGGAAGAGATCTTTCTAAACAAAATTTTCACAGAGCTTTTCTACTTAATGTAGCTCTTGAAGACATTTATTATTTAACCAAGAGAGTCCAGTGCCCCTCTAGTTTCTTCTGAGGCATGCCAGTCATGGGACACTTTTCAGGCAGCAGCAGGCCTTACAAAAATGTAACTGCCAGCATGACACCTCCTGATGACAGCAGATTCCTTGAAGACTGTATAATATATATATTCGCTACACAAATGAAATTCCCAACTGGGCAGTTGCTGCTGAGTGTTTGAGAGCTACATTAAGTTGAAAAGCTTCTCAAAATTGTGTTCAGCAGCGTCTCTACAGTTAACATTCAGCCAGGGTCAGTGCTGCTCTCTTGGCTCCTGAGGTGCCAAATGAAGACTTCCCTTGGTGAATTTTGGGTCCCATATTGGGAGGAAAAAATTGGAGTCAGCAACCTGGAAGTTGCCATTCTTTGCTCTTTCTTTTGAATTACTTACATCCTTCAGCGCTTTGACTTATTTCAGTCTTGTGTGTGAAACTGCAGCTTCTTAAGTCTGCTTTAGAGCGATGAAAACTGCTGGATGTTCCCAATCATTAAATAGTGCAACTTTCCTCCTCTCTTCCAAACTTACTGCTTAAGTCAAGGAAAGGCTTTTGGGAGAGGTAGCAGTGATGCTGGTTCTCCCTCTGCAAAGGTATGGAAGCAGATATTTTGCTGAGGTTTCCTACAGCTGCTTTGTTCCCTGAAATGCTACAAGACTTTCCAGCTATGTTTTACCCATAAGACACATAGAAGTTTTTTATATTAGTAATTGTAATTCAAAGTTATTTTGAGAGAAAAATGAGAACAAACCCCAAGAGGGTTTCCAGCAATGGATAGTTTCCATTACTGAGTATGGCTTCAGTCACAAAATACTTCTGCAAATACAACCTCTGTGTTATTTGGCAAATCAGCATGTTGCAAACAAAAAATGTACACAACTCTCTTCCTAGATAAAGAGTTTTCCCATGACTTGTTCTAACATAACGGCTTTGATATATTTACAGTGGGACAGTATTCAGGATCTTCTGGGGCATCCTGTAGAAAAGCCAGTGGTACTTCACAGGTAAAGGTCTCTCTCTATTTTTCCTCCCAGGGATCGAGCTGGTAACAGAGGATGAGTTCAGGCAGAGGAGAGGTGTTTGCTGCACTAGTTACTTTTAGGCTGCTTTGCTGATACAGTTTCAGACTTTTTGGCCACTAACAAGACTAGATAGCTGTGCTCAGACAAAATAGGCTGACAGGCAGAATGAAGGCTTGGAAAATTTTGCAGTGAAATTTCCCAAAATCCTTGAACTGTAAGATCCAGAGAAAAGCTAAGCAGCATGTAAAGAAATGTATCTGTTCATGTGCAGTAAATAGCATAGATTTTTTTATGCTAGTCACATGCATTTCAACGTGACATTGTATAGCACAATCTGTCTGAAGAAGCCTTGCTTTTATGAACATACATAGTTGTTCTACGGTTTTAATGCTGACTGAGATAGAATAGTGTGCTTAGGCTTGCTCAGCTCCTACAGGGATTGAGCTGGGTGTTGGGACAAACAGGTGTTACCTGCTTGTGGTGCTATCATTCTGTGATACAATATGAAAATATGATTTATCCTGGGACATGTGTAAGTCATGGGTATTGTGAAAATAATGCAGCAATTTCAGATATACCTAATGAGGTATTTTCATCAGGCTTTCATAAGATTTTGAGTTTGTTTGGGCTTAGGTTGGGTTTTTCTTTGCCCCCCCCATATCATTGTGCCCTTTACTCCTGTTTTATTCCCATGAGATCGTTAGAGCAGAAGCCATGTAAAGTAAAGCTGGGGTGAAATAGTGATTACATAGAGCCCTTCTCTTTTTCATCTGTGTTGGAGAGAGTAGTTCAACCCCAGCTTGCCTTACTGAGCACATCTCAAATGTCTTGGAGATGCAATCTGAGAAACTGACTGGTTACAAGAAAGGCCAAAAGGTAAATATTTTCTGGGAGGCTGTTTTTGGCTGTAATCTAAAATCTGTTGCAGTCAGCAGGAGTCTGCTATTGTCATATGTATGATCTAAAACTATTGGAAATATCTGAAGGACAAGTGATATGTTAATCTTGAAAAGTACTGTTTATTAAAATTTAGATTATTCTCTTTCAGCATCTTACAGGGTAATTTTTTAACATGATAAAACCAGTGAATTAATAGACAGCATATAGTAAATACATTTGGTAAAGGCTGAGAAGTAGATTGAAGAGTGGGAAAGGATCTTGCACAAAAATAATTTGTAATAAATTACATGGTGCTTCTCTCTTCCTAAGTATCTGCTTATTTTCAGGGTTCTTCAAGCTCAGTGTAAACAAGTTTTCCTGTAGAGGTCATTAGAAAGTAACAGAAAGTTACTGAGGATTAATAACAGTTCTGTGACGTTAATCAGAGGTACCCTCTGGCTCGCTTGGAGTCTTATCAGTGGTGTGGCATAACATACATTTACTTTCTTTTGATGAAAGCCATGATTAAGATGCCGTAATTTACCTTACACTGGATGGTTATTCTTCCCTAAGAAGTTCCTGATCCTCACGCATCCATTTTTTTTGTTTCTTTTCTGTTCAGGTCGTCATCTCCAAACAACACTAACCCATTTGGGTCAACTTTTTGCTTTGGACTGCAACGAATGATCTTTGAGGTTAGGAGAAAAACTTTAGTGTTTATTTGAGCAAGAGAAGATGAGGAGTTTGCTATTATTACTACTGGCTTCCTCTTTCCCATTTCAAGAGAAGCCAGCACTTGGGAGTGGCTGTATTTTTAGAGCTTATTAGCAGAAACAGGCACCTTTCCAATCTCTTCTCTGAGGTTGTACATTTGCATGTTAAAGCTGGGACTTCAAGTTTGTCACCTAGAACTCGTACTAGCAGGAGCTGCCTGTGAACAGTGGTGGAGCATTGCTGGTGTTTAAATGTGTCATGGAAATCTAGAGACTATTTTTAGGAACTAGTCAAGAGCTTGTTGTTTTCTTTGGTTGCTGGGATTTCTTTTTTCAGGCAGATCAGTTCCATACTTGCAGTTTTCACTCTTCTGAGTTCCTGTTTAGTGTGCAGTTCTATTAATTTCCCTTTTTCCCTGCCGTCCTTTTGCAGGTGATGCAAAATAATCACATAGCTTCTGTTACTCTGTACGGCCCAACGCGGCCCAGCAGCCAGTTGAGAACATCGGACCTTCCCCAGTGAGCATCCCCTGCAAAGTCAGCTAATCTCAATGCTACAAAATTAGTACAGCGTGCCTTGATTTGCTGCCACTTATAATACGGAAAGCACGTTACGATTTTTTTTTTTTTTTTTTTTTTTTTTTTTTTTTTTTTTTTTGGTCAACAAGCCTTTCCACCCCAGGAGCGGTGTGGAGGGGAAATTCTCTCAACCCTTCATCACGGGGCATGGAACTGTTGATGGAGGAAAGCAGCTTAGGTGCCTGTGCCGTTGTTTATTCCTCTCCGTTGCCCTCATCCTATGCAGCACAGACCTGAAGAGACTGTCCCCCCCTTCTCAGCTGGCAGAAGGGGGAAATGGAAGAGGGGCACGTAATGACTGCAAGAGTTAGAAGCACAAACTTTCTGAGCCTTGGAGCATCTGGAAGCAGGTATTGATTTTAGTCTGTTTGTGTTACTGTATTGATGTGGTGGTCACATTTTAAGAAAACGTGTGTGTGTATATATATAGATATAAACACATCGGTATTTCTGTGGCTTAGGACATTGTACCAAGTGTGACAAGGATGTATATATGTCCATGATTTCAGGCACCACATCTTTGTGTAACTTTAAACCAAGCAAGTAGCATGTGCATAATACTTGGTTGTAACATTTGCACTACATACACTTTAATTACTTGATAAACGTTTATCTTCACTGAGGAGCATCTGTGTACTGGGTGTGAGTGGGGTGTGATGGTTATTTAATGTACGCTGCGCATAAAGCTTATTTATACAGTGGATCAAATTTATCCACCTTCCTGCACTAATATGTACTTGATATGCTGAAACAATTTTTTTCTGCCATGGCTGGTTTACTAATTTTATTTTTTTTTTCATATGCAGTGTAGAAAAAAAATTCTGGAAGAGGTTGTTTCTATGATTGAATTATGTTTTAGTGAAAAGGTTTGATACGATTTTTTCATATTACAGAAAAATTTAACGAAGAAATAGCGTTGCCTCATTTGCCTCTGTTCCAAAATCCTTTATTCCTACTCTGTTTCCCTTGAGAAAGAAAAACTGTATATAACAGTATCTCACAGAGAAATTCCTGAGCTTTGCCATCACCAAGAAAACCTTTTCTGTAACTTTTGATGTATGATTTTAATTTATGCCAAAGGTTTAGCCAAAGACATCCTTGTTGTGGTTTCACCATTTCTGTACATACACGCTAACTGCACACCCCACCCCAGCAGACAGGATATAGGCTTCTTTCTAGTTGGGAGATGCTGCTCGCGACATTTTATCCCAGGAGGATACTTTAGGTTTCTAGTTCTCTTACCAGTCTTACTTGGGGGAAATAGGTGGTCTGTCTTTGAAATATTGAACCCTTTTTAAAAATGGACAAGAGAAATGTATAATTTTATCCCATTTTTAATATTTTGGTGTAGCAACTTGTGATACATAGATGACAATTTTGTGAGTTTTACTATGTGTGTACAGATTTTGTAAATATGACATTTTTGTAATTTTAACTCCATGTACAGTGTAATCCTGTATAGTTTATCAATGAATGAGAGATAGGAAATAGAATGTTAACTGAAGTTTTGGATCCTGGACCAGTAGCAGGGATAAATGTTGGGGGGTGTGTGTGAGATGTTCTTTGCCATTTAGTCTTCCTGTATACTGTGATATTCTAAACTGTTTTGCTAAAACAAACAAAAAAGCCCCATGGAGAATCTAATGGATAAGGAAAAAGTTACTGTTTACCTTTATCCCTAGGTGTCACTCCTGTTGAATCCCTGTTCAATCTGTGCTGTCTCCTGTGATCATTGCTTGCTAAGAAAATTCTATGCCTCAATCTTCCTTTTGTTTCCTCTCTAATTTGAATTTCATTTTACATAGCCCGTCTGTAAATTAAATGGAATAATAATGAGCATGTACACTGAAAGAAAAATAAAATGAGACTCTCAGTTACTGTTTTTGTGTTAAATACAGTTGCTGGGTGTTTTTGTAATAAAATCATGGATGTTTTTGCCTTTTTTTCCCCTCATCAATTAGTCCTTTTTATTTTACTGTCTTTCAGATGTTATGTTTGAACTACCTGAGTAGTGTTCCTCCTTTACAGCTGATACAGTGCATTCTCCCAAGAAGCAGTATAAAAGCTAACATAACTTGCAGTCTGTTTCCTAGTAGATACATGAAAGCATATTACAAACTTTTGCACTGAAGTGGAAAAGGAAAGTCTTTAAAGTATGGTAAATAACACTGTGGCTTCTGTATTGTGTTCAAAAAAGCGATTGTTACGCTCATGTCAGCTTTTGGGTATCATTAAAACTGATCATGCTTCAAAGAGTTTGAATATCACACAGCAGAATGGAAGAAATGTCTGCAGTAAAGGGAGCAAATGTGATTTCTCATCCTGGTTTCTTGTGCCCTAAGGTCAACAGAAAAGCACTGAAAGTAAGCTTACCCTGAAGTAGCTGAGAGGTTAATGCAGGGCATAGGGAATGGGACTCCTGTTTCCATTTGCATTTCTCTTGCACTAGCTGCATAACGCAGGGTAGAGCACGTAGCTTTCCCTCCTTCAGCATCCTTCAGGTGTGGAACATAAAATGAGCTTGCGTAGTGCTTGGCTCAGCGTGCTCTTGGAGAATTTTATCGCCTCTGGATTGAGATGGTACGCGTGCTTATGCTTATTACTAAAATATGACAGCAATCCTGCTAATGCTTTAAATTAATTTTAATTAATCCTTTTCTAATAAAGGCTCCAGATTAGCTGCAGGAGGAGATAAATTCTTGATGGGATGATTTGAGTAATGGGTACGCAGATGCTACCAATATCCTGCTCTTGAGCATATTCAGCTGAAATTCTTCAGAAGTGTGAGGTCAGGACTGCTGCTACAGCATGCACCTTGAGCCTTGGGACAGATGTCAGCAGCTAACCAAAGGTATTTAACAATTTCAGTGACTCCCATCTCTGCTTGTAACACACTAGCAAGTCAAAGTGACTGAAACAGTGTAGATAATAAATGTACTCTTCTAACAGCCCAGATGATTCTTCATCTTGAAAAGTTCCTCTCTAACAGACAAAAACTGAAGGCAACTTTGCATCTTGGCTGCCGCTGGTGCCCAGCACAAAGTGTTTGACTTCTGGGAGTGGCAGAGCTGAAGAAGGGGGATGGGGGGGACATAAGGTGGAGCAGCTCTTTGGGCTTTTGTTGCCCTTCCTTTCTGATCATAGCTGTTCAGAGCTCGCTCCTCTGAGATGTTTGGATTTGTTTGCTGCTGTTTGGACTAAGCCAAGCTGTTCCTGTGCTGATGATGCATTAGGGGAGCTGGTGTGGAGCCTTAAGGACTTGCTGGCATGAAAAGGTTAGGACTGGGTGGTTCAATTCACCAGCATGAAGAGAGGAAAGAGTAGGGAATAGAAGAGCTCTGGGGGAGAAGGTGAGGATGACAGTGCAGCAGGAAAGAGGGGATGGGACAAGGCTGTTTATTTGAACCAAAAGCCGTTCCTTGCAGAGGGGTGCTCAGGGTGTAGCAGCATGCCAGCTGGGCAGGGGGCATCACCTTCCCCTCCCAAAGGAACCGAGAGATTGGATTGGGGCTGTGTCAGATCCTGTCTCAGCAGGTACCCCTGTTAGAGTTATGTATGGTTTCATACATATCCTGCACGTTAGCAACGTGTGTTGGTCCATCATTTTGGTTTCGTATGATAAAACTCTTGATATAACGTTAAATACAATTGCATTTTTAATAAAACGCATTGTGCATATGATGCCATTTTGATGTGTGGCTTTTTCCTTTTTATAGAAATTAAGAGTTTGTGTGTGTGTGTCTGCTTAATGTGAATACTGCAGTATTTTCCACAGTATTTCATTTGTTTACACTTAAAACTGATTGTCGTGCCCTTCTTTTTGGAGGCAAAGCTGACATTTCTTCCTGTATTCCTTAGGCTTGCAAGCAGGCAGTCCCTGAGCTCCTGTGAGTATTACAGGCAGTGCTATATAGATCCGTGCTGCTGTGTAATACTAGAGCCCTCTCTTCCCCAAAATGCAGTTCCTGTAAGAAAACCCAATTTTCTGTTGCCAGGAACTGTCACACTTCTAATTCTAACCAGTTTTTTTTTTTTCTTTTGCTGAAATAGTAATCAGGTGCTGCGTGAGAACCGGTTCACGTGCTCATGATCGTTCATATTCCGGAACTCCCATCAAACCTGTTTAAAACAAAATCTTTCCTATGGCTCAGCATTACAGCAAGGTGGTGATTCATCGTTCTCGGGGGCTGGCTAGAGGTTAGACTCCAGCAGACGTTTCCTGAAGGGAAATCAAGGGTGTTGGTGCCCACTTCATGTTGTCTTTCTACCTGTTGTTAGAGCCTGTTAGTCACATAGCAACTCTGCTAAGCTGAACTTCTGTTAGGTTTTGTGGTCGATGGCTCCAAAGGTGTATGATAGTAAATCTGTGTGTGTGTGAAGCTGTGTGGCTGTTACTTTGAAAGAAATGTTATGGCCAAGCTGTATCTACATGCTTGCTTCAGAGTATTCCAATAAGGACCAGTGTATGGCAGAATTTCACATGGGCTGGTGGTGCTCTTTTTGTTCAGAATGATTTTTGGGGTCATGATGCAAAAAGGGCTATTCTGTGCTAGCTCTGCAGATACAATTGCTCCATAAACACCTTTTATTTTACCTCCTTTATCTTGATCACACCAACCCAAAGGCACTCTCCTCTCTGGCTGAACCTGTCAGACACAACCTGACATAGCACCTGTAGCCAGATAAATACATTGCTCTGTGTGTTTGAGGAGTTAATAGAATACAAATTAGTTCGGGTCGGTTCTTTTTGTGTAAGGTATGGCCCCGGGTGTTCTGGAGATAAGGTAAAGTTGAAGCAAAAGAAGGGGAAATTAAAAATGGAGCTTGCTGAAGGTGTAACTCTTGAGCATTAAAGTAGGATCAGGAGTTAATGAAGTAGGGGACTTTGTTCAAGGCCAGGGTATAACCAGGTCACCAAGTGAAAACTGTACCTGCGAAGGGATTTGGTTGTGCGGCAGGTGTATGTGTTACTTAGAAGGTTCAGGTTGAACTTAAATACTATATTCTCTACCTACGTGAATTTTAGCTGTAACTAATAAAGTTACCATTGAAATGTTTTATCTGCCAAACCTTATATCCAAAGATTTGGGGGTTTTTTTGTGGGGATGTGTATTTTTCCAGCAAGCAAACTCATTCCTTGTCATGATCTGGGAACAGTGACTGCTTGCAACAGCAGGAAAGGTAAGCTGGAGTTTGCAGAATAGGTCATTTACTGTGGTGTAAGATACCCTATAACAGTAGCTTTTGTTCTGGACTAGATCGTAATGCTTTAACGTAACCTTTTCTCTTTCACACCTTATTAATACCCCTTTAAATGTTACTAGTTTGGTCATTTTAAAGTACTGCATACTGCAATTTCGGAAGCTGGTTTTAAATGCCTTCACATTTCACACCTACGCTACGTATTCCACTTAGTGCCTAAGTTTCATTCCAGTGCTAATATCCTTCAGAGAGGCATTTTGTTTAAATACCAATCACAAACACCCCCCCCTGCATGATTATGCAATGTGCGGTCTAACCAACTAAGCAATCAAGCCAGCCTGGATCACTGCATTCCCTTGTCACCTCTGCTAGTCTCCCTTAGGAAAACTGAAGCCCCGAAATCGCGAGTTTACCCTGTTCCTCACTGGGTAGCTCTATTGCATTTCACAAGTGTGGCGGCTATGAAGATTATTTCACGCTTTTCTTCTGCTTCTGTGGCTGTAGAGAGCGTTTGTCTTAATATTGCGCCTCTGTTCCCACCCAGCTCAGTCAGCCCCACTGAGGGCAAGGCAGTCATCTGCGGACCTAGTTGGTGGTGGTTTTTTGTTTTGGTTTGGTTTTTTTCCCCTCCCCTTGGCACTGGGCTTGTCAAGAGACAGGCTGGGAAATGGAGGGAGAGAGAGAAGATCCATGAGCTGGGTTTGGATGAATTGGAGAGAGTGCCTGGGGCTGGTCAGGGAGCCATTTGCTGCTCTTGGAGGGACTCAGGTGCGCTTGTCCTTTGGGCTTTAGTTCCCGCCCTCATTTCTCAGTACAGTTTTCTTAGAAAATCATGAAAAGTTGGACTTAAAAGTTTTACTGGTTTTGACAGAGGTCAGTAGAGTTAGCAGCATTGCGAGGGAGATGTGGTGGGCTGATTTTCAGGGCTGCTGAGAACAGCTTGGGGGCTCAGCACTTCTTCAGCTTGGGTTTCGGGGTAGATGAGGGTTTTTTTTTTTCCCCCACCCCAATCTGATGGTCTTTCAGCACTCGCTGGGGAATGTTCTCAGCGCTAATATTGAGTGAGGATTCTCTGAACTGTTTGATTATTTTGTACTGTTTGATTTTGCAGTTGGGGTTTGCTTCCGAGAACCTGCTGTGGAAGCATGAATAATTAAACTGCAGACAGGAAGCACAATATTTTAACTCTCAATTGCTTCAGAGCCATCTTTGGCTTTATTTTTTATGATGTCTAAGTCAGCAGTGGCCCGACTGAATGATGGATCTTGGCATTCGCTACCAGTTTCTGGGTTCAGAGATGCATTCGGAGGTGTTGAATGTGAGGTTCAAGCCAGCTCTGCTTGTTATAGTGACCAAATCTGGCTACTTATGTACAGTAGGAACAAAACTTGACTGTGTGTGGATCCCTGGGACTCAGTAAAACCTACTGTACTGTATTTGCTTCAGATGTTTATGTCTGTCTCGAGGAAGTCTGCTTGCTTTCCCTGCTACTGGTGGAACCCACCTAGGATGTTTTTATGTTTTCTCATCACAGGTTAGTCATGAAAAAAAAAACTGCCAAGTAAGGCTTTGTAGCAAACCCCTGACGGGTGTATTGAATCAGCCAGTTAATGCTGCTCAGAATGTCGTTCTGAAACGGGTGGGTTTGGTTTTCTGAGGTGCATCAGAAAGGTTGGTAGAGGGTCCTGCCAGTTCTCATACACACCTAGGGTTTGGGGATTTCCTGAAAAGGCCCCCATCTTTTAGGAGACATCTCCAGCTCAGGTGAAGTCAAAG